TTTATAAGTTAAATTATTTAGAGTTAATTATATTATAAAATTTTGAATTTAACTCGATAAATGTTTTAACATTAAACTACATGGATACATTATTATAAAAAAAGCTTAAAAGGGCTTTTTGTAATTTGATTTTAGTTATTGTTTTTGGGTGAATTGAAATGTTAGGTTCATAATTTAAATAACTTATAAGTTTTAATATTTTAATTTATATTTTTAAGTATATTTTATTTTATTTTAATAAATCAAGAATATGCTTGTACCATATTTTGTATTTTAAGTATTGATTTTGGTGTACTTAAATCATAAAGTATTATTATTTTCAATTATTAATAACAAAGGTATTCATAAAAAATATATGGAGTTTTTAGATAATATATTTTATTATATTCTTGCAGTTAATGTGTATTCCTTCTTATTATAAATATGTATTATTTGTCTGTCCCTCAACTTTTATTTATTTTAATGAAGTTATTAACATTATATTAAAAAAAAATATATGCATATATACTATTTATGACATACTAAATACATACATTTATATTTAATCTAATTAAATATAAATAAAATTTTATAGTGACTATATCATATCAGTAGCATGTATAATTGTTTGTAGTGTGGCAACATATACAAGTATAAAAGAGGATTAAAAAGTCATCAAATATATGAATGTGGTGAAGTTCCTGAATTTCACTGTGGTGAATGTCAAAAGTTTTTCAAGCAATCATTTAATTAAAAAAAATCACATGTTCACTAAACAAAAATTGATCACCAGTTATAATTTTAAAAAATAACTATGTAAAATGTATCTAATTAATGTATATTAGTACTAAATTTTCTGTATTTGTGTAATTAACAATGGTACCTAGATATTTGTATTGTTTTTAAGTCCAAAGTTATATTAAAAATACATAAAAAAAAGATATAAATATTAAAAAAAAATCTTGAACTTCTCTTAAATATAATATTATTTTACTATAATTATATCCAACATTGAATTTTTTTATTAATCTCTTGTTGACAATTTTATTTTCGTAATTTAAACATTACGTTCTTAATTGATGCTGTAAAAATATTTTATATAAATAGACTTATTTATAAAATATGTTTATTTTATATTTTGTTCGTAGCATAACAATAATTTACTTTTATTAAATCAAAATGTTTGAATTGTTGTTTAATATGAGAACTAATTGACTACTTATTATTCAGTTTATAATCTTTTTTTTTTTGGCACGAATGTAGTTTTGTCAAATATTGACAATTTAAATTAAATATTTCATTAATTTTCTACTACATTATTATTAAGTAAAAGTACGTAAATGTTCATTAAAAATGAAAATTAAAATAGATCTAAAAGAATCAAATAAAGGATTGCAAAATTAACTACAATAATTTTAGTTTTATTGTGGTTTATAGTTGGTTTAATATTAAAAATATATTTTTTTAGTTTATTTTTTTATTTTTAATTAATTTTTAGTATCTTCTTAAAATTTTTTTTTTACATATTAAAATGTATTTAAGTTATTCTTAGAAGTATTGAAAAAGTTTAGTTTCGGAGAAATATATATATATATATATCATATATCATAATCAGAGCTGTAGTCCCTTTTATAAAACTAAATCAAGTATTCACAACCATCTCAAATATGAATGTGGTGTCAAGCCTAAGTTCTATTGTACACCCTGTAATGGATATTTTAAACGGCCTGAAGTATTCAAAGTACATATAGTGATCATTTATAAACAAATTAGTTGGTAATTTTAAATCCAATAATTTACTGACCATAATTATTTATGTAAAACTATGATAAATTATAATAGAATACCTATAATATTTTTATTTTTATTTTATATTTTTTATTTTTATATGTAATTACATTATGATAATTTATTTTTTCTTTACAGTCAAATATTTTATTTAATATCTGAATAATATCCTAATTATATGCTATATATGCATATATGCTGTATAATAGAAAGCTGTCCATCTAATTCACTACTCTAATTTATTAATTTTGTGTTCTTAAATGCTTAATTTAATCCTAAATTTCACTTAATAGTTTCTGTTTTTGAAAATTTGTTTTCAAGATTTTTTTCTATTTACTTTTTACTATTTCTGTATTTTTATCAATGTTTTATAACTATCCTAAAATGTTTCTTAAAATATTAAAGTTAAAATATAATTCTACTATTCACTAACTAAACTTTTTTGTCATTTATTTTTATAACAATAATAATTTCATATTATTGTAAACTCTTTTTTATAAATCATTTCTATTAGAGTAATTGGTGAAAATGTTATATATGTATTAAATATATCTTATGTATGTAATGTATTGTATGAACACCATTGAAATATTGAAAATTTTTGCATGCAGTTTTTTATTCTAAAAAATAAACAATAAATTATATTTCATATATATTAAACAAACCTTATAAATTCCTTGCTTTGCTTAGAATCTAAAAGATATTTAAAATTTCTAATAAATATTTAAATTTATTAGTATTATTACAAAACATACTATGTGTACCTAAAGTAATAATTGTTCATTAAAAATAAGTACTATTAATTCTTAAAATTGTAATACTCGAATGGAAATAATATTTATTTAGAACTAAAAATTATATTAATTCATGTTTTTTTCCTAATATATTATTTTTTATTTCAGAATATTTTTGTGAAAATTGTCTAAGAAAATATAAAAATGCAGTTAGCTTGAAAAAACATAAATTATACTACTGTGGTCTTCAATTTCCTTGTGATATATGTAAAGGTGTTTTCACTCGTAAAGCTTCACTTCAACTTCATAAAGCTGTGAAGCATGGAGTTTTAATGGAATAAATATTATTTAAGTTAGCTTTAGAATAAAAATAAAACCGCGTTTTAAAATTGAAGTGCTTTATATTTTAATTCATTTTGTATACAATTTGTAAATTTCATGGATTAAGAAATATTTTAATTACTTTTTGTGCTAAATTTAAGTTTGTTTTTTTCATTATTTTTATTTTAAACTTTTGTTTGGATAAACAATATTAAGAAACACCTGAAAATACAATGTAGATTTATAGAAAAAAAAAACTTGTTGAAGCTTAATTAGTACTTAATGAAAACCATGGTTTTGTTGCTATTAACTTTACAAATTATAGTTAATTTAATAATAATTGAAATATATTTTGTTATAAATAAAAACTATTTATACTATGGTTTTTTTTAGATTATATAGTAAACAAATTATAAATAGCTTGATACCAACTTGCATGATGATTATTAGCTGAAGTATTTTTGAATATTCAAAAGTTTATTTACTTTTAAATACTTTTTTTTTAATTTCTGTAATTTAGTATTAATTTGTTTATACTAGATATTTTTATTATTTATAAAAATAATATATTATATATATTTTATAATTTTTAAAGAAATATTTATTGCATTGTATTATACGGCTTTTTTTTTTTTTTGTAAATAATTGTTTTAATTTAACACTATGAGCCAAGTGTTTAGCTTGAAATTATATAAATTGTTAATTATTCAATTAATATGAAATATATTATCATATCAAATGTAGGTATTAAATACTGTATCATAAGCATAAAATATTAAAATGTTATCACAATATTCTTAATTAGTATGAACTTTCTATATTTTTGTATATTTTGTTATTTTTGTGAATACTGAATATTAATTTACTTAAAAATTAAATTCAAACTTATACATTTTTTATATTAAGCATTTATGTCATATAGAAATATATTTACAATAATTTATACTAATCTCACAGTTATTTAACAAATATTTTAATTATTCATCCTTAAACTTAAATTTTACATGTCTCCTATTACTTAAGTTCTATCTTCTTAATCTGATATTTTACTCTTCAAATCTATCTTTTAGATTTCTTTCTAATATTATTTTCAATATTGATATTTCCTGATATAGTATTCTAATTATTTGTTGTTTTATATTTAAGAATTTTTATTTATTTTCCTTTACAAAACACCTTGATATCTGTAAATTATAGAAATTTAATCATTTCTCAACCTAGTCCTACCTTTTTTTGTACATCTTTTCAACTATAAGTTGAACTAATAAGTGTGTTCAATTAATAGGGATAAATATCTACAATATATCTGAATTGGATTCCAATTTGATAAATAGCAACCGGTATCATTGCCCAAACCAGTGTGGCAGACATTATAAAGGAAGAAATGGATTGAAACGGCATTTAAAAAATGAATGCGGCATGGTTCCTAAATTTTCATGTTCTAAATGTAATAGAAGTTTTTTTTACATGAATTTATATAAATATCACATGGCAAATATTCATAAAGTTATATTTGATTCGTAGCTGATAAAGATGACATAATTAATTTATATTTTATATAAATTTTAGTATTTGTATTTACTTTTAATGTTTTTTTTTTTTTTAAATAAAAATTGAAGCTTATTTAAATTTTACTTGCATTTTAATTTCTTATTATTAGTTTTTATATGATTTAAGGACATATATTTCTCACAAATATGTAATTATAAAAATTAATACAGTAAAATGCTGATTATCTGGACTATCAAGTGTAGTCCAGATGATTGACATACGACAAAAATCAAAAATTATATTATTGTTTGAATACATTGTGTATATTTATTAATGAAATGTAAATTAATTTGAAATTTGTAACAATAAACTAATTTAAGAACTAAATTTAAGAAATCATTATATTTAGGAATCATATATACTTACATAATGAAACAGTGAATAAACGGTAATATACGATTAGGAAATACAATTTCAATTTAAAAGTAATTAAAAGATCAAATTGTTTTTCTTGTCTGGATAATTTAACTTCATGTTGATTGACCAATAATCAATGTCCTGCTGTATATCCATTACTTATTACTTTTATTTCTAGTATGGCTTTTAATTGTCTATTTAGATTTATGTTTTGCCTAAAAAAGAAGTTACATATTGTATTTAAGTATATTATTTTAATTAATGTTACAGATATTAGTTCGCGCTATCCATGTCCAAATTTGTGTGGTCGAAGCTACAAATATAAACGGGGAGTTCACACTCATGTAAAATTTGAATGTGGCGTAGAACCCAGATTTTTATGTTCCTTGTGTCCAAAAAAATTTGCTAGAAAGTTCCAGCTAGAAAGTCATTTGGTATTGAAGCACAAAGTTATTAAAATTAGATGAAAGTTTTAAAAATAAATTATTGATTAATTCAGTATAAATAGGTACTGTAAATATTTATAAATTATTCACCTAATTACTTTAAATTAGCTGTAGTAAATTATTATCGCTTCTTATTGTGAGTAAATATTTATTACTTATGTGTACAGCCTTAAAAATATATTTATTTAAAGAAGGAATTATGTTGCATTTAAAATGTTCAATATTAGACATTAACTTCTTAATTATTAATTTTTTTTTTTTTTATCTCACTTTTCCATTATAAGGCTTTAAATTAATACATAAATTGATTAGGCCATTAATTATTTTTTATGAGCTCAATTTTTTACAAAGGTAAGTAAGTATTTGTTAAATAACAATACTAATATAACTGTCTTGCAGTATATAGTTGAATAGATAAACCAGATGATATTTCATTTAGTGTCCATCAATGGAATTTTATATAAAAATAAAGGTATTTACATTTTGTATTAATATTGTATAGAATTATTAATTTTATACTGATTTATAAGATTGATTTTATGGAAATATTTGTTAAATATACCTGTGACTGTGATAAATTATACATTTTGGTGATGTACCTATTCATATAATTATGTGAACTTTTTTTTTAATCTTGTTATATATGTTTCTGTACTAAAGATTTCTAACTAACTAATTTATCTTATTGAATTAAAATATTTTACTATTAGTAATTATTGGTAGTGGTGTATAATGTAACCAGTTTTCATCCTGCTGCTAAAATCAAACATTTAGTTAATGAAATCATTTTAAGACTAAGTTCGATAGGTTTAAAAAATATATCTACTTTAAATATAAGTGCCTTAGGGTTATCTAATACTTTATATATACCCGTGAGTAAATATTAAAGAAATTAAAAATATTATATAGTGTAAGCATTTTAAGATTTATATACATTTATTCCTCGATTTTTTTCATTTATATAATAAAAATAAAATTGTTGATTATAATTTATCCACCACTACACTATCTAGCCTTTTCAATCCTTTACTAAATTGATTTGTTACTTGTAATTGATTCTCGGTTACTTTTTTCCCTTAAGTCCTGTTATAAAAATACATTTAGTATGTAATAATTTCATTATAGAATCTTTAATCTTAAACCCTATCATATAGTTTTAATTGTATAACATATAATGGTGTGTGTCTGTGTGTTTAATCTAATAAAAATGTTTATGAAATTTATAATTATTTGTCACCGTTTTAATTTTATTATTTGTATTATAAATATTAAAAAATATTAAATATTTTTTGCGGAAGCATTATTTTACTGTGGTTCAGCATTGTTATTAAATTTGGTGTAGACATTTAGTAAATTAATGCTTTGCTTGCTTCATATATAGTTTATGAATTTTTTTGAAAGCAATTATGTTGTAGACATTTTAGACACAACATTTTTTTTTTTAGTTGATAAATAATTATTAGAATTATTATTATTATTATTATTATTATTATTTTACAAAATATCATTGTTTAACTGTTAACTATAAATAATTCTTTATTAACATTATTCCAGGAATTCTTAGAAATACTGAACGTATAAGTTGTCCAAATGGATGTGGTCGAACATATAAAAACAAGATATCCCTGCAATGCCATTTGAGAAATGAATGCGGTACTCTACCAAAATTTTTCTGTCCATTTTGTGATAAAAAATGTTACCAAAAATCCAATATGAAATCTCATATTATTCAAGTGCATAAAACTTTCTGCAACATAGAACCAATTGCTCCATTGCCATCATTGCGTGGTCGTAGAAAATTTAATAACTACAAGTTTCCCAATGACTGAATTGTACAAATTTATTTATAACATTGGTATTAATTAATTAGTTTTTTTATTCAATGTTTTAAAGTTTACTGTTAAATTCACAAACTATTAATGTATTATTAAAAGTAGTATGAATTATGTGTAATGCATTGTATGTAAAGAATATATACAACTGTATTTAATTAATTAATTAATGGAAATAATAACCTCAGTGGCGTAGTTACGGGTGGGGATGGGTTGTAAGGTGTTTCCTCCCCAGGATTTTTTTTTTTTTTATGATATTTAATTATTATTTATTCATTTTTACATATTATAGTAAAATGATATTTTCATTTTACTATAATTTGATATTTATTAAAAATTGAGTAACAAAATAATAATGCCATTTTAAATGTAATATTATTATAGAGGACCTCGTATTAAGATATACTAAAAGTATTATGAATTGACTCTTAAACACACCACATCCCCAGAAAAAAATAGTATACGCCACTGAATAACCTTATGGTTAACTGGAATTGGTAATGGTGATTTGCTATTCTATAACAATATAGAATTATTAATATTTTCTATTGCTTCTTGTAATCTCTCAATTATCATTAGATATTCATGAATGTTATTCTTCTACCTATGGTTTATCACATTTTAGGTCTACCAGGGAAATCATTCCATCTTAACAAAACTATTCATAAGTGTACAAATAACAGTTGTGGAAGGATATATCGGAACCGAAGTTCTTTAACTAGACATCTGAAGTTTGAGTGCGGTCAGCTGCCAAAATATTCCTGTATGATATGTGAAAAACGATGTGCTCTTAAGTCTAATTTAAAACAGCATATGGTCGCGGTTCATAAATTTGTGCCAAGAATATAAGATTTTTTTTTTCTTTTAAAATACCCTACTATTACTCACTTTCATGATCTGCACAACTCAGTTCCTCCTGATGTTTGTTTAGCAACATAATTTATATAAATACACTTTTGTCCGTATAATAAATATTGATATTTAAAAAAAAATATTTAATCAATTTATTTTTAGTATATATTTTATAAGCGCATAATTTTAAATCAAAATTATGACTAGGTTTTTTTTTTTTACTGTTATAATAATTTTTTATTATAAATGACATGTATTGTATTAATATAAGTTTCTTTTGTATTTTTATGAAATTCTTGCACTCATTTATTTTATATGTATACAGCATTCGTATTGCATACATTAATATTATCAAATATATTGACTACATGTGTTTGTTTTTTTTTTTGTGTTTTTAACGTATATTTGTGATTAATATACTGGTTAAAGTTGTTAAAAAATATTATAAATTACACATCATTTAAGATTAGTTGTATTTTTATTATCTTATAAATGAGTATGCTTTTTATTTCTAATGTACTATTAACAAAAATTCTTTCTTGTAACAGTATGGTCATAATGATTTTTCTTCCAAATTACCAATGTTGTTTTTGTTATAACTTTTACAAAAATCTATCAAATGTATCGTTTGTTATAATTGTTATTAAAAAATTCATAAATTATTATTACTTATTTTATTAATAATATCTATTTTGAAGGGCAAATAAAAGTTACTTAAATGAGATTATTCTCTAAAGGTAATCAACTTGATTTCTTTAAATTTATCAAAATATGTAAAACTACGATTTAATTATTTTAAGTATGAATTTTAAACTGGTTTAATTTTATTTAAATGAAAATTAATAAATAAAAAATAAATTAATAAGTACATATATTTTTAAATATTTATATCAAAGTTAAATTAAAAACGTATTTATTTAATTTGTGTCTAATTATGAAATACCTATCTAATTATATTTAAATTGCCTAACAATATTTTCTTGTTGTTTTTTTGTATAATTTTAGAAATAAATATTTATTTAAAACTCTTGAGTACTTCAGCTTCAAATCTAAATAAGTATAATAATTTTAATATTTTAACTTAATTCTTAGATGTAAGAAGTAAAATAACTTTTTAAATTCAAATAATGTTATATATTTTTGGTTACAGATATGAATGTTAAATGGATCAAAATAGATTTTTTATTCATATATCACATCATAATAATGTTATCATAATCAATGAAGAATCACAACAATTATTGTCTTATTATTTCATACATAGATACTGAATATTGATTGTAATTTATTCTTAAAGTTTTTATTACCTATCCATTAAAAATATTCAATATATATATGTAGAAATACATTACTTATAATTCAAATCATCATTTAATTTCCAAAGGCTGGTATAATATGATATATATGATGAATGGAATAAAATATAAATGCGATACAAGTTTTGAATATGAAAATTCTTAATAAAAAGCTGAACATGGTCAATGGTCATATGTAAGGAAATGATAGTTTTTACTACTAATGATAATAATAAATTTATTAAAAATTGTGTTTTATTGATTTTAATATTGGAATCATCAATGGATTAATCATAATTTAAATTAATTTATCAGTTATATCATTAGTTAAATTAAAATTAAGTTTTTTAACAAAATATATGTGTTTATCTAAAACTATTAACCTATACACTACCTATACACTACCTATAAATTTCATTATGATTACTTTAACAGAGGTACATTAACTCCACTCATTACTACATTTATCTTTACTCATAATCCCTTTAGATTTTTTTAATAGATCCTACTAATCTATAAATGAATACAAATACCTCTTAAAAATCAATATTTTTAACAGCCCTTATTTGCTTATAATAATATTTTAAAATATGAATTAAATATTATTTGCTTTGTGTAATTGCTTATATAATTATAATTAATATTTTCCTCTTATGTCTGTATGTTATTTCAGGTATTGGTCAATTTGAAGACCGATTCTATTGTCCTAACTTGCAATGTGGTCGGAATTACAAAAACAAATGCAGTCTAACATATCACATAAATAACGAATGCGGAGTTAACCCAAAATTTAAGTGTATATTTTGCTCAAAGACTTCTAGTCGTTCTTCAAATTTAAAACGACATATGATATCTGTACACAAACGAATACATTGATGACTAGCCTGAAATCTTTAATTTTAAAAGTTAAATAATAGGTTAAAATGATTATTGAGATTTTATTACCATATTCACTGTTTATATTTATATAAATAACTGTAATGAGATAAGATCAACTAAACAAAAAATTGTATTACTTATTTTTTTTAAAAAAAAATTGCTAAATTACAATTGAAAAATGAAATGAACAGTATTTATTGTATTATAAACTGTTCGTTTAACCACTCTGGTTTTTCAATAATTTTAAAAATTACTCGTAAACTTTTTAAAATACAATATACACCACGTATTATATTGTACCACTAAATGTATTCTGCATTTACATTAATATCCAATATAACTATGCCTGTACTTAAAATGATTTTTATCAAAATTATAAAATGTTTAAACATGTATTATTATTATTTTAGTTCCATTCTAAGTGGTTTTATTATTTTGTATGAATAGTATAACGCATGAAATTCATATCAAATACATTAAATAAAAAAATAATTTATACTCATTAAACACTCATTTATATTATTATAATAATAGTTAAGCGTTTAAATAATATCTAGCATGCGTTTACCTTACCCAGAAAAAATAATGAGATATTTTGTGTGAATTGACGAATAGTAATAGTATAATTCAAGCTCAATAAAATTATGAATTCCTAATTATAGGTTTTAATTGTTGGTTGCTTTTAATGTGTGCACTATTATTGCGGTCTTTAATTAAATATTACTTAAAGCCAGTCTTTTTTTTTTTTTTTTTTTTTATAGGTTTTTATTATTGTGACGGTTGTCGTCGTAAATATCGTAATATGGGAAGCCTTATTAGACACAAAAGATACGAATGTGGTCTTGAACCTCAATTTCGTTGTGATATATGTATGAAATCATTTACCCGCAATACAACGCTTAGAGATCATCGGGTCAATATGCATAATAGTATAATAGATATAAAATATACCTAGTCATTTATGATAATGACATTTAATATATTTATATACATACATATTATTATTGTTATGTTTTTATTTATGATCTATACATAAAAAATATATAAATGTTATTTGGTTTTGGTGGTGACCAATGATAATTTTTTTATATATTTTTAACAATTCTTGTCAATTTCTTATTAACAACAATTTAGAATAAGAATTTTAACATATATTTCCAGTTTTATAGTACAATAGAACATAGATAATATTATATTCTATAATTTTATACATTATTATTATTTATGTATTAAATTAATACTATAGGCTAAACTTGTTAAAATATTAGTTAGCAATTATCATTAATATACATATTTTTATTTAAACATTTTTTTGATAAAGAACTTATAATACTTTTATTTACAAGAAATCATTACTTTCTTTAAATATTCTTTTATACATGGATATCCTAATGGCATATATTTGAGATTTATATAATTCCCTTTTTTTATATAGATGCGAGTTTTAATTCATTCAATATTACAGCAGTGTAATACTAGATTAGACAAAATACTCAAGTAAAAATATCAAAAACTAATATTTAAAAAAATATAATCATACGTGTTTGCTATCTTATATACGAGTATATATATACATTTTGAAAAACTAGAAGGTAGGTAAAGAGAATTTTCCCATAATATTATATATCCTAGAATACATTTCTAAATTTTAAACTATTAATTATTATACTTATAAAATGATCCAATCGATTTTAAAACCTTAGCTTTAAGAACCCATCATCAGGAACTCATTACCTGAAGCGTTGCTTAACGGTTGTTCCAGGTAGTGGCTTATTCGCCGATTTAAAAGAAAAAAAAACTTTAACACATGAATAAATCTATCTATGAATGGATTATATTTGTTGATTAAAGTTAACCGGTACCATTTATATACATAAAAAATTCCGTTCATATATTTTGCCTCATAAAAATATCTCCCTAATCTTTAAGCGTTTGCAATGAAAATATCCATACGGTTAGTCAATGCTATTAAAATTATTACACTCGTACACGTGTTTTTCAAAAATTATGTGCAAATTTGGAAACATTTCTATTTCATACTGAAACAATATGGCCTTCGAAAGGAAATATTTTGGCACGTTTATTTGATCTTCGAGAGGAGTTGAAGGTTTTTTTAATCGATAAAAGTATGAATTATTTACATGAACAACTTCGTGAGCCAAAAATTGGAATGCAAATTGCATATCTTGTGAATATATTTGCCCGTTCAAATTACCTAAATTTGCAAGTGCAAGGTTCTGCAGGTTCTTGCCATGGCAATGTTAAACTTGAAGGTTCCACAAATATTTTCGTATTTGAAGATAAAATTCACACTTTTGTCTGCAAGATAAATCTTTGGATCGACAAACCTACACACACAACTATACCTACACTGAGAATTCTTATTGATGACGAACACTACAAATGTTTTACAGAATATATTTAGAATATGTACTAATATTAGAACACTTACAAGTCCTTAAAGTGGAATTTACCAGATACTTCCAGATACTTGAAGAGTTCGTTTGAATATAATACAAACTTAGAAGAGTTTTGGTGTAAAAAAGCCATAGGATATCCTAACATTCAGCAAACAGTGTTACGTTTCCTCATAGTTTTTCAGCCACATATTTATGCGAGCAAGGATTTTCTTAAGTATTATTTATAAAAAATAATAAACGAAATCGTCTGAATCTCAGTAATGATATGTGACTTGTAACAGCATCGCTCCAAGAATTATACAACTGATAAAAACAGGGCACTTAAATAAGTCATATTAATTAAGTAGGTACTCAATAATATAAATTTGTTATATTTCTTTCTCATTGAATAAGTTAATTAATAAAAGTTCATAAAATGTAACATTTGAATTTGTATCACTTTATTAAATTACATTTTTATTCTATATCTAGAAAATACAAACATAAAATTATGAAAAAATAAGTCGTATAAAGTGGAGGGGGAAATTGAAATCAGGTCGTCATCAGTAACGGTGAAAAATTTATAAAAGTGGTTCGCGCCTACTAGTGCTCTGCATGGTCCGGTCTTAATCAGTATGGTCTAGTAAGATCCTAACATAAAAAAAACTATTGAATCGTCGGTTTGGTACGGTTCAATAATTTTTAGGAGTAGGCAGTTCGGTCTAGTTCTCAGATCAAATGTTTTATTTTCAGTCCGGTCCCAATCATGGTACTTATAATCTAAATACAGATATTGTTATATAAACAAATAAAATGAAAAAAACCTACAAATTTAGTTATATATTTATTTATAAAGTCGGGTAGTTCAGTCCAGTGTAATACTAAACGCATCATATGGTACGGTCTGGGCTAATACAGACTGAACTTTACAGACCTGTCCATAAACGATCCAAAATATTTTAAGATCAGACCTATAGTCCGGTCCACGGTCTACTTTATTGAATGTTATTTAATTACTGGTCGGGTCTGGTATAAAAATTATATGAAGCCATCAGTTTGGTTCAATTTTGGTCTTTGATTAACGTTTGTGTGGTCTGGTCCTTTAAATAACGGACCGTGCAGAGTGACTAGTGCCTAGTGTTGAGTTGGGAACCACTGTCTTATACCATACTAAATTATTATTAATTGTTCATATTAAAAATTATACTTATATAATATATATTTTGTTTAATATTTGTTAATTATATGTCTATTATAATTGTTAATTAATTTTATGTCATTATTTTAATAAATGTACATTTGTGTTATAAATCGAAATATGTCTTTATATTATGTTAAATCGACTTATTAAAAATAATTATAAGTCATTATAATATACTTGTTATTATTTTTAACCATTGAAAATAATCCAATTATAAAAACTAAACAATAATATTATTAATGTTATACATTTTATTGGTTTTGCTCATTTGAAGGTTATAAAAATTTAAATTGAGTTGAACTCAATTGACACAAAAATAAGAGTATTATAAATTATAGCATCCATTAGATGAATATTTGCTATTTATTGTGTTTCATGAAATTTTTAAATGTAAATTTTATAATATATTATATTTTATTTTATATATATGATTGTTAATTAAACGTTTTAAATTATAAAAATAAGCTTGCAATATACTTTTTTATTATTTAAAAAAACATTAGTATCTAATGCGTTTTTTTTAGAAACTTATAGATATAATAAAATCATTTCATCAACATTTATTAAAAAAGCTTTTTTGAAAATCAATCTTACTTTTTTTTTCTAAACATAATTTTGGATGTTAAGAATTTTGTCAGTGCGTAACAGGCTTTTTGGGTTTTATTTATTCGAACACTTATTTCTTTTCCCCAGTAATTTTTTGTGCTTAAAGTTGCTCCTAAATATTTTAAAATCACTAACTTTTTCATAGATTAAGTCCTCCATCTCGTAGGGGTCATCCCCACTATCAATGAGTTCCATTATCTTTGTTTTTTCGGTATTTATTTCAAGGCCTCTTTTCTTCGCTGCTTCTTCTAACACTCTGGCCACGTTAGCTGTGTCTGTAAGCGAATCACCTATTATGTCCAAAAAATCCGCGAAACCTAAAAGCCGTATTTTGTTCTGACCTATTAATAAGCCACCTTAGTATACTAAGCTGTAGTATCCTTACTACCTTCTCTAGTGCAAGGTTGAAAAGTACTGGGGACAGGGCGTCTCCCTGCTTCAGTCCGGTTACCACCGTAAAAGTTTCGGATGTTACATTTTGCGTTCTCGCTCTGCATTTCGTATTTTCCATACATATTTTAGTTAGTGTTATTAATTTTTTCGGGAAACCAAACTCATACATAATATTGTAGAAACTATCTCTGTGAATACTACCGTAGGCCTTTTTAAAATCTATGAATAGTTGCCACATATTTTGCCTGTATTCATATATTTTCTGAATTATTTGACCTATTATGGATAATTGTTCTGTGGTTGACCGTCCTTCCCGGAAGCCGCATTGGTAGTCACCTGTGCAACTCTCTGCATTGGGGACAATAAAATTTAGTAGCACTCTAGCGAAGACTTTATATGATGTGAAGTTCAAGATCGATATCCACCTATTTTTGTCGCACTTTGTCTTGTTTTTTTTTTTTGTGTTAAGGCATATTGATTGCATCATTCCAACTATCCGGTATTCGTTCTTCTACCCATATTTACTGACACAATCTGTAGATTTCTACGTGCAGCTCCTCGGCTCCGTATTTTATGAGTTCTGCTGGAATATCGTCGGTACCCGGTACTTTCCAATTTTTCAGACCAAATATTGAGATTTTCACTTCTAGACTAACATCCTCTGCGTGTAGCTCCGCTCTTTTATATTCGGTGTACAGTACTGGCTGATCTGGCATCATACCAAAATAAATGAATACAACATGAAAAAAAGTTTATGGATATATATCCCTTCAGCCCTACAAACCATTTGTGCTCTACTAATCTATAACTACAAAATAATATAATTATTTAGTATGATTTCTGCAACAAGTTGTTTATGCAAAAGAATTTTTTCTTAATTATACATTATAAAGTCTAAGTTTCAGACTACCATGAATCAAGAAAGTCTTGAAAGAAAAGTTTTATGAGTGTCGAACAAAAAGTATGTATGAAAAATTTACTATTAATAAATAATTCAAAATATAAGTTCTAGGGAATTACTAATTAATCACACACAACTTATTATTATTATTAAAACACATATGCTCTGATAACTGCAGTCGGATATATATAAGAAAAATAAATCTTGTATGACATTTGAATTATGAATTTGGTATAAAACCTTAATTAAATTAGTTCATTGTCTTAAAAAATTTACTGAAGAGTCATTTCATAAATCATGGTTATTTATGGTAATTCACAAAATAACATATTTGGATTTTAACTCTTTTAACATGTTGATAGATTTTGTATACATAGGTATATAAAAATACATTATTTCATATTTTTTTTTTCTTTCTTTTACATAATCTTCATATATAGAGTAAATAATATTATGTCATAAAAAAAAGAAGATTGTTGGGTATCAATTATAAATTATTATATCAAAATAAATTTGCATGTTTTAATTTTATTTATAAAAAAAATCTGAAAATAAAGTTACATTCGATTATTATAATATATACCTACTTAAATATTAAGAGTGATAAGATACTATATACTTTTTATTGTTATTGCAATTTCAGATTGTATCTGCAACAAAAGATTTTGGGGCCCAAATAAGTATGGAAAAAGTTATAAGCATGAAAAAAATATGAAAAATCACTATGTGCATGAATGTGGAGTTCCGGCTTAATTTGTTTGTATTATTTACACAAAAAACTTCAAAAGAATTTTTCACAGAAAAAACCTAATGAAGTCGCTTAAAAGTATTTGAATTATGCGCTCAATCAAATTAAAAATTGACGAAGCTGGGCGCAAATTATACTTTGGATAAAATATGTAACAGTAGTTTGTCAATAAAATTGAGTAACTGAAATAAAATAAAAAAAATCTTAAACTATTTAACTGTTTTGTATATTTTTACTTATTTAAATTAAGAAATATTTCTTGAATATGATAGTTTTCACTTTCAAGAATAAGATAATTTGTAAAGATAAATATAATTACTTCTAGCTACCAACTACTTTACTCGAAGTTTAGTTTAAAATGAAACAATTGTTCAATATAGGAGTCAGGAGACCTATATGTTTCTAGTTTTTTTATTTCTGCCTAATACATTATATCTCTTTTTTAAAGTAAAAAAAAAAAATTGTTTATATTTAAAGTTAATAATATATTTAATACAGTTTTTAAATAAACAAGTGACGAAATCAGGAAACAAATACGTGAAGAGGTTGAAAAATGTTGATAAGCACCATTATATAATATATTTATATTATTTGCAAGTGTTTGGGAAACTTTGAAATAACTATTGAATTTGTAGATCAGATAATTCTTTATAATATTTTTTCTGATACTTCCGTGAGAAGAGCCCCATGGTTAAACCCCTAAATCCTACCCCCTGCCTTCACGCTCGATATAAAATATTTTGATTTTATCAAATAAATATTCTTTATTAATTAACTTAATCATTTTTCGTTTGATAAATTTGTTGAATATAGACATATAGTACTTACATAAATGTTAATTTAACTTTGATATAATTACTTAAATATGAGTTACCTATATATAACACGGTTGTTTTGCTTACTTTTTATTTATTAATTTATTTTTATGCACATTAATCATTTTACATGTTGATTTATTTATTGATTAGAAAAGAGCTTGTACTCCGTGCTTGTACTTTAGTAAATACGTGAACCATACGCTAATATTATCGGAAATGACTTTTACATATTTTTTTTTTCTAGATTTGAGATGGCTGTGTCCAAATTGTGGTCGCAACTACAAACGCAAAGCGCATTTAAGTTTTCACTTGGCTAAAGAGTGCGGCGTGGGTCCTCAGTACAACTGCACTAAATGTTTTAAATTTTTTAAGCGCAGTAGCCACTTGAAAAGCCACCAATTGTCGTGCGGTAATATACCGCCTAAATTTCAATGTGACATTTGTAAAAAGAAATTCACGCGAAAAGATAATATGAAAACTCACAAAAACACTATTCATCGGCTCTCCGACCCCAACGTACCAAATGAAGTATACGCTTTTTACAGTGATTGGCAAATTGGTGATTCTGATTAACACCAATTTGTTTTAATCCTTTTATTGAATTAGATAATATTACTATAAATATTATATATATTATATTATAAATATCGGTGTATTTGTATAAAAATATTTATTTTTATATGAATATTAACATACTTGTAGTATAAAATATTAAATTGTTAAAACTTTTAGAATAAAATCAATTAAAATGTGATAACTTTAAATGCAATATTACAATTTTTTTTATTATTATTATTATTATTATTATTATATTGTGTAGTATTCACTTTAATTATCCGATATTTAAATGTATAATTTTTTCAGAAACATTGAATGGTATCATATACATATATTAGTTAGGTTACACAATGTGTAACATGTCATGTTGACTTATTATTTTATATCTCCGTAATATTGAACAAAATATATTTATGCTGTATCAGATGTGTTAAAATATTTTACAAAATATATTGATGGATATTATATTGATATTAAAGATAATATGTATCAATAATTTAATAATTTTATCTTCAATAACGATATTGAATTCAGTCATATCCGTAGTTGTTATTGAACTTAATTTTTTCTCAGCTTACTTTTAGAAATTAATTATAATTAATTCCTACATTATTATAATATAATAACATAAATAACAGATATATTAATATTTATTTATTTACACAAAGGCATTTATAAAACTTATATAACTTTTGTTTAAAGTTACAATTATATCTTTTAGTTAGGTCTGAGGAAAATTATATAACTAAGCGATCTTAAAATGTTTCTACTTTTTTTTTTTTAGATCTTCGATTATTTGCCTTAAATAGGTAATAGGTATCTGTTTTAATTTTCCATCTTATTTTTACTATAAATTATCATATTACTATGGTGTATAATGTGTAGGATATAAAAAAAAATATTTTAATGCTTTTCTATTCTACGGAATATTAATATTATTTATAAAAAAAAAATAATCCTCTTTGCTATAACACATACTAATATATATATTTACAATTATTATAAGTTCTTACAACAATTATTAAAATAATGATTATTTTACTGAATTTTTTTTTTTTTAGGAAAAACAATTTTTAAAAGATCTTTAATCAAACGGAAGTCAAAAAATGAAAACATGAGAAACAAAAAAAAGTCAAAAAGTGATTCGCATATTTGTGGTGTTTGTTCAAAATCATTTAACTATTTGAAAGCTTTGGATAAACATTTAACAGCACATTTATCACCAAAAAATCGTATTGTTTATCCATATAAATGTGATGAATGTAATAAAATATTTACTAAAGTACAAAACATGAACACACACAGAGCACTCGTTCATGATTTATTTTAATTATTGTACGACGTCACACTAAATTTTTACTATATTAATATTGTATATAACGATTGTTTGTACCAAGGGAATACCAATTTTTCAATTAAAAACGATAATATTATTTGTAATTATAAATTAAATGGCTTATGTAACGGTCCAATATGCGAACTACAAATGTTAATTGACCTACCCATAAGATTGTGTTGATCTAAATGTTTCGTTATCGCGGTTATTGTCGTTATGGGCATTTTATTCTATTTATGGAGTATTTATGTATTTTGGGACCGAGAAACTCTTAAAAATTATTAAAAAGAAATAAAAACTGGAACGACAATTTATGGTAACCATTGGAGAGCGTACTCAACATCATGGATATATTCATCGAATAGTTAACCATTTAGAATTTTTTATTGATCCTGAAACAGGAGCACACACTCAACAAATTGAAGGCTTATGGAGAATTATAAAATCCAAATATAATATTAAAAAGAATGGGGCATCTCCAAGAAAAGTGGTGGAGATCGTGCCAAAATCTAAAAAACCATTATTGATAACTTTTTGGCTGATATGAAAAAGACGTTTCTTAACAATATGGATTGAAACAATACAGTTATCGACGACACTAAGAAGCGGAATAAAAAAAAAGATTACTTAAAATTATTTGTATTTTACATTTATGACATATTGAACCGTTACCAGTTATATATATATATATCAATATAAATCAAAATGATTAATATTAAATTTAAAATCACTATACAAACATATATACAGTTTCTAAATGTGTATAGCTGCATAGGTATTCTCAGCATATTCACTAAAAAAATGTTATTTTATTTATTTATGCACTTTAAAATATAATTTCTTACAAAATAAATATATTTAAAATTATATTATTTTCTTATTTGAAATAATTTGTTCAAAATTATGGAACATGCATTATTTGCCAAAAAAATAAAAAAAAACATTAACTAAACTTCAAATACTAATGAATTAATTATATTAGTATTTTTTTATTATTTATAATTCAAAATATGAAATAATGTAGAAAAAATTATTTACAATTTTGGACGTTGAATGATTATTTATTTAGAATTAATTTTTCCAGTATTATCGTTGTATATTCCCTCATTTATAGTAAATACATCGTCTGATGTTGGTTCCGGATAGATGACCATCCGGTTTTTTAGCAACGAAGTCTTATGTATATTATTCTACATGTCCTGTGAGTTATATTATTCAGATAAATTGAAAAAAAATGATAGCTCACTCGATCCATTTACATCTAATGATCTTAAGGCGCGTCTAGACTAAGAAACAATTGTCGCCGACTTTGTCACCAATGTCGGTGACAAAATGTTTCTTTAAATGTTACTGACAAAATTTAAAAACAAGCGCGTCCTCACCAAAGCAACATATTTGATAAACATTTTAGTCTTGGACAAAATGTGGAACGAGAATGACGTGACGATTGCCATATCTGCTTATGTAATTTTAAGTTTAGAAGCAAAAAAGGCTTCCAAAAAGAGATTGGGTTTATTCTAGTTTCTTAGTAAAGCAAAAATATAGTGGTAATGATTTTATGACTGATCTAAAAACGTTGGTCTATCTGGAGAATTGAGGTATGAGTAATGAGTATACAATTTACAAATTAAAATAATATTTTATCAATAGAATTTATAACTTGAATAACTAACTTGAATAATTTTTTACATATTTTCTTATGTAGGTGCAATGGACGAAGCAAAACTGAACGAAAACCAAATAAATAAATAAAATATGATGCATTTACTATATGTTTATCGACAGAATTTGACCGGTCAATTCATTGTCAGCGCCAATGTTTATAAACTTTGTCGAATTTTTCCCGCGTCGGATGAAAAACAAAAATTTGTCGATAACAATGTCGCCGACACAATTATTGTTGTCGGTGACAAATTTTACAAACAATTCTAATTTTTGTCGCCAACATTGTCGATAATACATGTTATCGACATTGTTGACAAATGTTTCTTGGTCTGCACGCGGCTTTAGATGTCGTAGATTTTAATAATAAAACAAATAATGTACGTCGTTCTCATAGAAAAATAAATAAAAAGGTAAAATCGTGCCTTTATATTATATTTACTTACCTGAAATCGGAAGCTTTGTTTTCAGGTATATCTGCACCTTCAATATAGTAATAAATACTCTTATTTCAAAATATTTATTTATTAATTATCTTGGTATATAGGTTATGACTTCAGTCTATATTCAGCGAGTACTCAATAAAAATATGTCACTGTTATGTGTGCTTTTTTATTTACAATTTAAACAGTTTTTAATTTTACATTGATGTATTTGATTATTAATTTAATTGTGTTTTTAGGTATATTACAACAGCAAAATGGCCGATGGATGTGTCCTAATATTATATGCGGTAGAACATACAAAAATAAATTTTCTTTGAATCGTCATTGTCAACTTGAATGTGGTGTCAAACCTCAATATCACTGTCCATTATGTATAAAAACATATAAACGTAAAGATTCACTCAAAACGCACTTATTAACTCATTGATCATTTTTCAAAAATGTACTAATTACCATACATTTTAAACATCGATGTCTATATGTATTATTACTTCCATTAAATGACAATAATTTTTAAGAATATTATAATTTATAAATCATTTTATACTATAAATTATGCTAAAGCATAAATATAAAATCGGAACTTAATTAAGTAATGTTTATTTTATAAAATAAAATTGTAATGGATAATGTATAAATATTTTTAAATTGTATTTAATTCATCATGTGATATAAATCTTAATTAATTAATTTATGTATGCATTAATCACAAGGTTAATATATGTGATTTAATTATTACTGTACCCATTTTTTGTATTTTACTTAATATTTTTTTAAAAAAAACCTACTTTTTCACTTTACAAATAATATATATATATATATATATATATATATATATATATATATTATACAATCCCTGGTCATTGTAATCATGTAGGTAGTTGAAATATCAATATAATATATAAGTATCCTAAACATAAATTGTTTAATGGTACCTAGTCCTTCATTTAATCTTCTTCAATCAGCACTTATCACTTAGTATCATAACATTTTCATATGAAAATTATATTTTTCTATAGCGTTCTTAGTATAATCGATTGTAAATCATTAAAATAATATTTTTTGTATGTTTATTGTATAAATATAAAGTGTAATAGCTATAAATTTAATAACTATATTGTTGAACGTTGAAAATAGCTTTTGCTTATTTTTCTGCAGTCTTACATATCTTATTATTATAAATTAAAAGTTTAAGTATTTGTTATGGCATAGCTTAATATGTTTGTTAAATTTTACAGTTTGTCCGTTCAGTGGAAGGTATATGTGTCCGAATGTATGTGGTCGGAGTTACATAGAAAGACACAATCTTAATAGACATTTGAAAAAAGAATGCGGAGTGGCCCCTCAACATAAATGCCATCAATGTTCGAGAGCTTTCAAACATAAATCACATTTAACTAGACATTTACTGGCATGTAGTAATGTCCCTCCAAGTTTTAAGTGCAATTATTGTGAAAGAATGTTCAGATGTAGAGATACACTGAAAAAACATACTCTGTTAGTTCATAAAATACTAGACCATTTATTGAATGATTTATGAATGATGTACTATTGTTATGTAAAAGAAAAAAGTTATTGTTATTTTGAAAATAATATGATGTGAATTTTATTACTAAATTATGTACGATGTGGATTAATCCCAACTAAATATCTGGAAAATAGATATCTATTCACTATATTGATGTTATTCAACTGAAATTGTTAAATCTACCGAGAAGAATAAATTGTCATTTAATATCTGTTGTACTTATTAATCAAATATGTACCTGAATAATTTTTTTACATACTACTTTTGAGAAGATTGAATTAGAATTGTTCATCTCGTTTTTTTTTCAATTTTAAATGATTAGTTATTAAAATTTATAGTAGTATGGACAATAAAAAATCCAAAAAGGTTATCTATCTATGTAGGTATATTTTTTTTGGAGACTGCCATTGATATTTAAAAGTTATCACTAATCATAATTAATGCCATAAAATGTATTTTAAAATGTAACATAAATTCAAATACTTATATTGCACTTGTTCATTTAATCAAAAACCAATGCTATTCAAACAAAAACATTTCTTTTTAATTTATATTTATTTTTTTAGGTAAATAATAGAATTACCAATATAGCCTTATATTAGATATTAAAAATTATAATTATTTAAGTATTAATCATTGGAGGCTCTAAAGAGGGAAAGATATATGTCTCTCTCTCTTGCCTTTTGTATGAGTAACATATATTATGAAATTTTAAATATTGAAATTGATGTTACTTTCTCCCACATATATAAAAATTCAGATCTGCTGTTGATATTATTAATGTTCTTACAATTTTTTTTTGTATTTATTATACTAAAAGAAAATTAGAACTACATATTTTTAAACAATATTGTTACCTATATTTTACACTAACATAAAATAAAACTATTTGTTGTTTATTATGGTAATATTCATAAATAAATAAAATCCTTATAGTGTTTTAAATGTTATAATTTACCTTTTATAAGTAGCCAAGTAAAATTATCTCTATTTTTATGCATAAGTAAATAAGTAATTCATTTTTTTTTTTTTTTTTTGTACAATTGAAGTGCATATAAATATTCCATTTTTGAATTTATTTTTACTTTAAAATGAATAAAAATAAAAAATATATTTTAATTATCAGGTATTAAGTTGTTTGTTTTATTTAAGTATTGAATTATATAAGTATGTATTTGAATTAATATTATTACTTTTGATAACCAACTCAGGAAACATATATAATAAATGTATCAAATCATTTATTTATCTATACCTTGTGCCTTTTTATTTTAATTGTAATGAGAAAGGCTGTATTGTAGAGATTCTTATTATAAAAGTTAAAAAAAGCTTACCGTTTAAAGCTTTATTAATAAATAAAAAAAAGTATATATTTATTTATTAATAAGTTTATTTTTAATTATTTTTTCCATATTAAATATTTGGTAAAATCAACGAAATATAAATATTTATTATAACAATTAAATAATTATTATATCAAAAAAATATTTAAAAAACTTTAATTTTAGTTCTTGTATTGATTTTACCAAAACACTAAGCAACCAACCAGTGTCTTTTTTTCTGTATTGTAGCCTTAAAGAAAGTTATCAATTGGTATTGTTTTAAATTTGAACAGAAAGTGTAAATGTGATAACATTTCTGTAAACATTTGTTTATTACATTTTATTTATGTTTTATTGCTTCTTTAAATACTGGTAGACTTAATTTCACAAATTAATTAATTTAAATTAAATAATTAGCCATTATAATCATAATATATTTATGATATATTATATTATTATATGAATTTTCAATAATTCGTTAGTATCTTTTTTTTTTTTTAAAAATTACAAATTTTTATTTGGAATAAAATACAATTATATTTTGTTTTGAAATAAATGCCAATTGCTTTTATTGAACCAAGGTAATTATAATTATTGCTAAATAAAATTTATCTCTGTTTTCAGATTTAAAAGGCCGATGGTCATGTATGAACAAGTGTGGTAGAAGTTATAAAAACAAAGGTGACTTAATACGTCACTTAAGAAAAGAATGTGGTATTGCTCCTCAGTATCGCTGTGATATATGCTTTAAAATGTTCAAGCATTTCCATCACTTAAAGTCACATATGGTAGTGATTCATCAACAATTATATAAAAGTAATTAATCTTATTATAATAGTATTTGTTTAATAGTTACTATACCACAAAAGAGTTATTTAAAACTTCATATACCTATCACTATTCATTTTTAGCTTGAAAAATTATGTAAACAGTAAATTACTTTCATTGTAAATTTAAACTTAATGTAAAATTGATTATAAACAAATCCTACTTGTATCTATAATCAATTATTTTATTTATTTTCCCTCCGTTTAGTAATATTTTATTTACTATTTGAAATAATAAATTGTATTATCATATAGATCATTATTTTATTTTTTTTTCTAATGAACTGTATACATTTTTAGTTCAAAAGTACCTATCTTATTTCAAAAATTTAAACATATAACTAATTAATTTTATATCTTTATATTTTATTTTAAGTAATATATAAGTTTCATGACTCAATATAACAGTAAGACAAACAATAAATGCATGTATAAATAATATAAATATGCTTGTTAATAAATAAAACTGTTGCTCTATAACGTGTATAAACAGTTATAGATAGTAATAATAGATTTTTTTCGTTTTATTTGTACAAATATTACTTTTGTTTTTTTTAATTTTATAAGAAGTTATTATTTTATTCATGAATAAACTTTTCCTTGTAGCAAACTTGAACTAATTTGCTCATATTTATTTCAGTTGAAAATTGTACCCTGATGATTGGTACAAAAGAAATTTAACTTTTAAAAATGCTTGTTTGTTGAGAAAAATAGGAATAACAATTTTAGCAATCTGATTTTTATAATTACTGAATGACAAACTTTCAATTGAGAGTCTCATTTTCTGGTTATTACGATGGAATGTTTTTAAATTACTAATTGATTTATTTTTTATTTTTATGTATATTATCATTGATTATAAATACTAGTAGTATAACAATATACTATTGTTTAATAGAATATTATAATAATAGTATTTAAAATCAATGATATTATTGTTTTGTACTTGTGTTTGTTTTTAATATACATCCTCTTTTATTGTAATGCTTCTAACTCAAGAATTAATACATTTTGAATATTTTTATGAAAGTCAATTTTAGTGACTCAAAATGTTATAATTATGACTTCAACTAATATTTATGTTATTTTTGTACTCATATATATGAATTATATTATGATTTATGTTTGTTTCAAAATAAATAATTAATGTATAAAATATTGTTCTCTTTTGGCTGAAATGTTGATAATATAGATATACTTATTTAATACTATTGATAATGTGTATATATATTTAATTGGCTTATATCAAGTTTAAGATTGCGATTATTTAATTTCTAAGGTAAAATTTATGTTTAGACTATATTAATACTAACATTATTTTTAAAACTTTAAAATTTCTATTTTTAATTAAAATTTCAATGTGTAAGGGTATGAACTTTGTTTATAGGAATATATTTTATTAGTTTCAAAATCTATTATTAATTATATTTTTATGTACTCAAGTGATATTTTTTCTTTTTTGAGGAGATGGCTACTATGCTTAAATGGATGCCGACGAAATTATAAATGAAAAAGTGATTTAAGTAGACATATAAAAATGGAATATGGAGTCGAGCCCCAATATATTTGTGCAATATGTTCAAAGGCTTTCAAACGAAATTATGATTTGAAATTCCATTATTTTTCTAGAAATTCTAATTATTAAAGGATACATTTTTTAACTATTTACCTTACCTAGTTAATAAAGTGAATATGGAAAATCTAAATTAAGTTTCAGTCATTTAAAATTGTAATACGTTATTATTATATGAGTAGGTTTCATAAAAATAACGTAATAACGTTACAACATTCAATCATCATGTATATCTATTGTAGCTACTTAAT